CGCACGTGACGTAAATGTGACCAAGCACACGCACGGGACGTAAACATGACCAGGCACACGCACGTGACGTAAACATGACCAAGCGCACGTGACGTAAACGTGACCAGACTCTTCCGGCTTGGTTCTGATGCAGGTTTCTGTGTGGATGGAGATGATTTTAGAAACGGTCAATAAAAACATTATTTCAGTAAATCTGTTTCTGTGAGAAGACCTGAACCAAATGAAACCGAACCAGAACCTGGAGCAGTTCTTCCTGCCATGGGCTTCCTCAGTCTGTGGACCGGTTCTGGACCGGCTCTCTGCTGGGCTCCTGCTCCCATCAGTGTTTTCTGGCTGAACCTCCTCCTCCTCACACCGGAGGCGTCTCTGCCTCACATGGTCCTCGTTTGCCAGGACCCGGGCTCTGGGCCAGCCTGTCCCAGGTGCCCCTGCTGACAAGCTGCCCCGCTGCCAGAACCGAGCCGGGGGTCCGTGCTCCAGAACACAGCAGCCACAGATTGTTCAGCGGTTCTGAAACATAAAACATTCAGTGTCGTCTTTTAGTTACAGATCAACCCAGAAGAGTAATTTCATAAATAAACTCTCAAAGTTAAATGTTTGAATCTTTACTCAAACAATAAATAGAACAAAATAAAAACAATAAAAATAACTTTAAGGTGATCGTTTGTAATTGTCCAGGATTCCAAATGTTCTGGTCTTCACCTCCTGTGAGGAGAACTCTGATCGTTTGGACCAAAACCTCCTGAACAGACTGAGCTGAGGGGTTCTCCTGCTACAAACCAACGCTGTGGATCGTTCTGACGTCCGGTTCTGAAGGTTCGGCCCGTTTCTGTCCCTCTGCAGCTGTCGGTTCCCCTCGGCTCGGTCCAGAACCAAAGGCCTCTCCGGTAAATGGAGTCCAAATCAAAGCTGCGCTGACGGACGTCTGAACAGAGGCTGAGGAGTTTTCAGCAGCCTGTTGGGAAAACGGGTCAGGACAAACCCCAACGGTTCAGAAACCACTTCTGAACAAGAACCGGTTCTTAAGACCTGCAAGGAAAAACCAGAACACTGAGGCCAGTTTGACTCTCAGGTTTTAATGTCCAGATCACATCATGCTACCTGAGCATCAGAACTGGATGCACCAGGTGCATTCTGGGAAGAAGGGCAGCCCTGCTGGGAACTTTGGGTCCTGCTGTTCACGTAGACCTTCCTTTGACCCGTAGAACCTACCTGAACAGGATGCTGTTCCTTCAATAACGGTTTGAGACACACGACACCTCGCTGAGCATCTGTGAGATGTTCTGATCCACGGAGGCCCAAACTCACTTCCAGGACTTAGAAGATCTTTTGCTGACAAGTCAGAGCCAGATACTACAAGAGACCTTCAGAGGTCCACATGAGACCTTCAGAGGTCCACAGGAGAC